AAGGCAGCCCTTGGATTGTAATAGTGAAAAAAGGCCACTAGCCTCTACTCCTTAGCAGCTCCAGGTATGTATGTCCTTCAACATCAGGAGCAGGGTTTTATTTCCCATCCCATACACATACGCCAATAGGAAGGACAATGGAAATGTTGTGGAGAAGGAGTGGCATTAATCTCAGCTCTTTGACATAGCCACACAAAAAATGTGACCTTGACACAAGCGAGGAAGAACTCTGTCCCTTTAAAAAAATCTGTAACAAGCCATTTTCCACTGTAAAATTCAAGTAAAGCCCAACAAACAAACAAACAAACAAACAAGCAAAAAACCACCAAAAACCAACAAACAAGCAAAAAACCAACCAACCAACCAAACAAAAAAGACCGATGGCAGTCCTCGGAGCAGGGAAGTTAAGAGTCATATTTCTATTTGGAACATTTTCCCTAGCTGGAATAGGACTAATTTCCAGTACAACGTTGCAAGAAAGGGCTCAGGGGTTTTTATTTAATTATACCTGGAGTTCTCCATTGTAATCATGCAGTGTAGGTAAGGTGTAAAACATGTGAGCTGTAAATGGTGAAGTGATTATACACTGATATAATGTAATTATACACTTACACAGTGATTATGGCACTCCTTGAAATCTGTTACTGAGAATCTGACATAATTTAAAAAAAAAACAAACCCTCCAAGCATTCTATTAGAAAACTCCACATTACATATCTAAGGTTAGGTAAGAAAACTAGGTTCAATGCCCAGAACCTATCCCCAGTGCCTCATCCTAAGCTCTGCTGGTTTCAAACTCTGTCTAGATTATGCCTAGCACTGACAGCTGGGCTCCTTTTTCCCACAGCAGAACAGGGGGTGAGGTGTGGTTGGTGGGATGTTAATGCTTCCTCCCTGTTTTAGATATAAGGAGGCTCTGATAGGATGAGCACGTCCCTAAAAACCAGCCCAAGTCACAGATGTATGGGGCCAAAAAGGATGGAAGTGGATTATATCAGCTGTGAGGAAAGGCCTGAAAGCTATATTCAGAGGCCTGTTGGCACACAGTAAGGCCAGCCCTAGCAACATCAAAGGCTACAGCAAGGAGTTAGTTTATACAGTTTTGTCAGTTGGATTAGACTCTTCATTAGGATGCAGAACAAACCTCTCCTACTTGGCAGACAGGAGCAAGAAACAGAATAAAAATGGAAATCAGATCTGAGCCCTGAATTCCCCATTCAGTGAAGCTCTTCTTATTTGCGTAGGAACTCCAGTTTGCCTGGCTTTGTTTGAAATAAAGGTAACAGGAAATTTCTGGGCAGGATGAGGTCAAGGTCTCTTGCTTTGGGGCCAGCAAGCCCTGGGAGGACTCTTGAGTCAGAACAGCCCGTTCCAGAAGAAGGACAAGCAGAGGGCAAGAGCATTTGCTATGGGGTACCTCTACAGCTGCATCCTCAGCAGGCAAACTCAACAGGGAGACTTTGAAAAAGACCTTTCTTAGTTTGAGTTGAACAAGTAGTTGTCACACTGCATAGAGTCATGGACATTCTGACACTAGAGTGGATGGTTTTTAGCAGGCAGGTTGTGCACTAGTCAGCTTCTTACTTTTCCCCTGCGTCTTTTGATGAAGTTGCTGGTTTGTCTCAGTGTGTTTGTATGCTGGGAGAACAAGATTATCTGATTTTGTGGGTTCCTAATGCCTCTGACAGCATTAGAATATACAAAGGTCAAAAAGAAAAGCCTGAGTTTGCTCTCAATCATGTCAGCTTGGCTAAGGGGTCACTGGGAGGTTATGTAGGTATACTGCAAATTCACTTTAAGGTCAGAAAGAAGCCCAAGTATTTAAAACAGGAGTTAGTTTTCTCTACCTACTGTATCATGATAGCAAAGCATGTTTATCTTTAAAAAGGTATTTTTTGCTATCCTTAGGATTTGTCTTTATTATGTTTGATCAGAAGACAGGAGGTTAGAATTTGTTTTACAATTTCATATACATTTTTATTAATAGTTTCAGGAGCAAAATCAGACATAGTTATATAAAATATTTCTTGCACTGAAACGGGACTGACTGAAATATATTAGCAGTTGTCAGAAAGATAAATGCCCACGTTTTGCTCCATGCTGTTGAAACCTTTAAATCACTATTTTATCCCTTCAAATTGCAAACAAAATGCTAATTTCTTCCTGCTATAGTAGAAAATAAAAGAGACTGCTAGTTGTAAGTAATCTGTACCTTGGATTATTTTATTAATATTGCAAATTGTAAGTAACAGAGCAATTAGGGTTAAATATGACCCCAGAAAAACAGCTTGACCAGTGCTGATCATCCTGCTAAATAGATGGAATTTAATTTAATGGAGGAAACAATAGGTTCCCTGTGGTTTATCTAATTAAGGTGATTTCCATAATTCCAATAGTGATTCCCACATCTTTAAAATTAAACTTGGTAACAGACAAAAAGATAGAGCTGCATTGGGATGGTAAGGGATGAAAAACATTTCTGATTCTGTCATGAAATACTCATTGCTAAATTTGTTTAATTTGGCCTTAACTCATTCCTGAGATAATCCCACAGTCTCTCTTCATCTGAACTATGTCCCTTGGATTTCTTTAAAACCCTCATATCTCCCTGGGTACCTTCTGTTGCACCACCTCAAAGCTTCTACATGCACTTAACATTAAGGGGCTCTAATTTTCTTCTCTCTTATACCTATTTTTCATCCATTAACTTTAATGGGATTGCACCTGATTTCAAGAAAACCAGACTGAAAAAAAAGTCAGTCTTATAGTGCCCAAAGTCATATTCCATACTTCAGAAGTGACTATTTCATGACAGTTTTCTGCAGAAATAAATTTATTTCCCTTGGCTCTACCTCAAAAGACAGCACTTTTGCTGAAAGACCTAACAGAAAGAAAGATTCTGAGGAAGATTCTGAAAAATCTCTCTTTAACATTTAAACTAAAAGGCTGTTCAGGAAACTGCAACTAGCTTTTAAAGAATTACAGCCATAGATATTTTTCCCAGTTCTTCCTTTTGTTCTTAAAAACCCAAATCAAACTTTAATTTTCTGGCTTTTGTCCCCATACATTGGAAAATACTTAGGATGCATTTTGGCAAAACTGAAGGAAATATCTTAAGAAAAAAAAAATTACTTGAAGCCAGAGAAAAAAAAATTTGCAATGATGCTTTCTAATTGTGAGGTTTGCTATTCACATAGAAGGCAGTAATATAGGTGCTGGAAAACAATATTATGCCTAGCATAAGCAAAGGCAAACATATAGCCACAAACATCATAATGTAACAGAATCTTATCCACCAAAGTTGTTCTTTCACAAATCAAACTACAGGATTCTCATCAAGTTAAAAATATTTCTGTATATATGTTTAAGTGTTGCCTCTCTTTCATCCTGTTAGTACCTGCACCTTTCATTGCTTACAGTGACAGAAATCCCATCCTATTGTTTTTCAACTATCTCCCCTGTTGTTTGCTCTGTAGGTTGCACGGGTGAAGCTTCTACACTGGAATTACAAAAGAAAGTCAGTAAAAGAATATGAGCTTCATTCTTTGCCCTGCATTTACAGCAGAGCCTGCCAAAACTAGCGCTGAGGTTTGCTGGAAATGTAATTATCTGAAATTTTGGTTGGTTCTGAATCAGACAGGAATCTTTCCTTTTTTTTTTCTCACTCCGTTCTAAAGGAGCAGAACTAATCTTGCTGAGCAGTTGCAAAGAGCCCAGGAGTTTCCAGTCCCTAAATGACCTGCTAAACAACTAGTCACAGGAAAGAGGCTGTTAGCAGAAGAGCCAGACACTCTTAGTCCTGAGGTCAGGAACTTCCACTTTTTAGCACCCTCTTCCCTACAGAAAAAAAAACCCCAGGAATCTGTGCAATCTGTTCAGAAACAAATTTTTTTCAGGTTTATGGAAAAGAGGAAACAATCTCTCCTCATGTCTGAGCTACTACTGGATGCGTAGAAATTAAAAGGTCTTTTACTTCAAAATGATTCATCAAAGGAGGTATCATGCCATTATGATTTAACTCCCCTGATGAAATAAAAGACATTCCAGGAGATAAATCCACTCCTAACAATGGCATACATGGGGAAAAGATTTTGAAGTCAAGTTTGGTGCATATTGGTTCCTTGACATAGAACTGAAAACTCTGCTAGGAAGCAAGGCATTGTGTGCCTTATGGCCAGAGGAATGCCACAGCAGGACAGAGTAAGCCATGCTTTCTGTCTTGGGCTAAATATGGTCCCAAGTGGATTTCACCACTATCAGTGAAATCTTCCAGGATCAGCTCAGTGACTTTATGTATTGCAGAATGCTCCTTTCAGCTGGCATAGATGATACAGCTTTTATCACGGTATATATTGCAAAATTCATACTCCCTCATGCTCTTTTGAGCCCTGTCAGAGGAAGATTTTCTCATGCATGAAAAAGTAAATAATTGGAACAGACAATTGATTTGCATCCAGTAATTTTACAATTCACTTGTCAGGACAAAACCAGGTGTATGACTATAGGTACAGATATGAGCAGAATCTACCCTTTTCCATTTGTTTTGATCCCAAGTCTCTTTCATTCATGCTGCCAGAATTCTACTTTCCAGGGGACTGTGAGGAAAGATCAATTTCCTGTGACTAACTCAGTCTAGAGCATTAAGCACAGGGCTCAGGTGGGGTATGTGTTTCCAGTAGAGAACAGCTGATGCACATAGTGGAAAGCAGCAGGCAGGGATACTTCTGTCTGATAAGGCTAATCCATTGCAAAGATTTCTTGCATGCAGTTTCCCAGCTCCAAGTCTGTTTTACCTTTTTACACATTGACATAAAGCTCCAGAATTACTGAGTGGAAATCTTGATGAACTGCAAGAAACATGTCTTAAAAAATGCCACAAGAAACTCAGCGCATTCTCTGAATCTATGACTGACCAAACCTACACACCAACAACATTCCTTATAATTAATGCATCAGTGACAGCCCTGGAGGCTGGTCATGCACACAGTGCCTGTACTCACAGTTTTCACAGCGATTCCCTGTATAGCCAGCCAGACAGGCACACTTGTAGGTGCTGCTTTTGTCCAGAATGCACGTCCCATCATGAAGACATGGAGATGAAGAACAAGCTGTAAAAGAAGAGCAAGAATGCTCATGGTCTCAAAAGCAAGAATAGGATGGGGAACCTACCTGTTTTTCCTCATGGTGGCTGTGTCTTGGGGTAAATTTCATATTAACATGGTTAGAAGTTATAAAGACACAGTAAAGGGCCTGATGCATGTCAAAAAGTCTTCTGCCTTTACTTACTAGAGGAGGGATCTAATAAGGATAAGCAGTTCCTTTCCCAGCATACATTACTTTTACAATTTTCCTTTACGTACAGTCAAGTGGTGAGAAAAAAATAATTTACATCAAGTTCAATTATTGTTTAGAACTTAGACTAAATTAAAGAAGTCTAATAGCAACCTACATTTTCCCTGCCATTCAACCCAGAATTTAGGGGTAAGTTCTGGGATCCATGGTTTTTGCAGGTTTTTTGTGTCTCGGACCATGTTGGTTTAGATTTTGGGAGTTGCTTTGTCCCTAGGAAACTCTTGCATGTAACAATCTAGCAGTGATACACATCAAACTGTATACAGCTTGTATACACCAGCATAACTTAATACCAGACTATGTAACTGTGCATTAAACACCAGCAAATTCCATTGTGTAATAAGACGCACACATTTTTTGGTGCCTGCTCTAAGAGGAGATGAGTCAATAGAACTATTATGGTTTAACCCCAGCTGGCAGTTAAGTATCATGCAGCCACTCACCCATCCCACCACCTCTGGTGGGGAGAAGAATTGAGACAGAAAAAATAAACCCCATCAGTTGAGATATGAACAGTTTAATAATTGAAATAAAATAAAATATTATAATGATAATAATAATAATAGGAATAAGAATTACATTGAAAGGTAGAGAGAGAGAGAGAAATAATGCTGGAGAGAAAAAAACTATCCACAACACAGTTGTTCACCACACCACTGACTGAAGCCCAGGCCCTCCCCAACCAACTCCCCCCAGTTTATATGCTGAGCATATTCTGTGGTATGGCATATCCCTTTGGCCAGTTTGGGTCAGTTGTTCTGGCCATGCTCCCTCCCAGCTTCTTGTACAACTCCTCACTGGCAGAGCAAGAGAAACTGAAAAGTCCTTGATTTAGAACGAGCACTATTTTGCAATCACTAAATCATTAGTGTGCTATCATACAAAATCCAAAGGACAATAAGGCCCTGCGAGGGACTCCACTTGTCACTGATGTCCACTGAGCTGTTGATCATTGAGCTGTTGATGACCACTCTAGATCTGACCATCCAGTCAATTGCTCATCCACCAAACAGTTCACCCATCAAATCCATCTCTCTCCAGTTTAGCCAGAAGGATGTTGTGGCCATGCCCAAAGGTCCTATAAAAGTTCATAGACATGACAGCTGTAGCCCTTCCCTTGTAGTCCCTCCACAGTAGAAACCACCTAGATTGGTCAGGCAGGACTTGCCCTTGGTGAAGATGTTCTGGCTGTCCTGAATCACCTCCTTGTCCTCCATGTGCCTTAGCACAGCTTTTGGGAGAACCTGTTCCATGAACTTCCCAGGCACAGAGGTGAGGCTGACAGGTCAGTAGTTTCTGTGGTCCTTCTTTCTATCCCTTTTTTAAAATGGGTGCATTTTTCTCTCTTTTCCAGTCACCGGGGACTTCACCTAACTGCCATGACTTTTCAAATATCATAAAAAGTGACTTGGCAACTACATCAGCCAATTCCCTCAGGCCTCTGGGGTGTATGTCATCAGGTCCCATAGACTCATGTATGTTGAGGTGCCTCAGGAGCAACACTGATCATCTCTTACAGTGGGAAGGACTTTGCTGCCCCAATCCTTGCCTTGCAATCCCTCAGCTCAAGGAGTGTGGGAAGAGAGGTTGCCAGCGATGACTGAGTCAAAAGAGACAGGCTCTGGCCCTCCCTGCAGCCAGACCTGCATGGCTCCATGTTTATGTGGCTGCCCTGCCTGGGTTATCACCTCCTTTCTGGTGTGTGCAGAGGACATGGCTCCTGCCGAGGGGACATCATGGCTGCTCTCCATCCCAGGGGGTGCTGACCCCTGCCTGGGCTCTGCTCTGCAGCTGCAGCAGGACCTTGCTCTCCCTGTACTCAAGGTGCCATGAACTGCTGCACACCCTGGCTGCACCCTGGGCTGCTCTGAAAGGCCTGAGGGTACAGAGGCGTGCTTGTTCTGGCACTGTGCAGATCTCCTCAGCACCTCCCACAAGCTGCTCAGGTGTCTCCTAACTCAGGAAAAGCCCCCATGTGCCAGGATCTGTCACTGCCACCATATGGACCGACCTCAGAGCAGCTTCTCTCAGAGAAGTTTCTTATTATCCAGATGGCATGAGGTAAGAAATATATAGATGCCACATATAAATTTCTCTGGAGGCTTCATGTGGTGATGTAAGAGCAAATTTATATATGGCCAGGCAATGAACATCTTCCATGTCCCATTGAAGATTAAGGCCTGAATAAGGACAGTAACTAGTTTGTTAAAAGAAAATACATATGTGGCAATTGTACTGTATACAACTAATATAAAATATCCCTGAGAAAGCAAAGGAAAAGTAGAAGACTCTTTACAGACTGATATTTTTGTAGTCACTGGTTAAAGCTAGTGAACTTTTATCTTTGTCCCAGGTTTGTGTCCTGATTCTGGAAAAGTAAGCAAGTCAAGTGAGAATGCCTGACAATAAAAACCACTAAATATTTTTTCTGTTTTAAGGAGTCTTGATTTCCTGGCTCGAGTCAAACAAGGGACGACACTATAAACATTTAAAGCCACTATGTTATGTCCACTAGGTTGGGTGTACAGAAAGGAAAGCGTTATTGAAAGTCAGTAACTATCTTTCATCTAACTGGATCCAGCATATGTCTAATCCTTAAGAGACTCTGATAGCTCCCCATCTGGCCTCCCATGCTTCTCATCTGAATTCTGTTCAGTGACTTCTAGTCACTCATGCCAATTACTGGTTCCCATTTCACACTTGGCATGGGATGGGACCTAGCACCTGCTTCCAGACTAGGCAGCACAGCAGGTTGTGTGGTTTCATCCTTTAATAACTATACACACTGTGACCTTTCCTAAAGGAGATATAGGCTTTGCAGCTTATTTTGTATCAATCAAGACCTTTCTGGAATTTGAACCAGTGATCCCTGTGCAGTGAGTGCCCCTGCTTCAGCAAACTATGGCTTCTAAGGCAGTACAGAGTTCACAGGAAGGGGAGGCAGAAAAACAAGGAATTCACTTTTGACATACTTCTTCAGTCCTTTCCACTACACCACTAAGATGCTGGGGGACACCAGATCACCTTCATGTCCTAGTCCACATCCTGTGAGCACCTCTGTCGCTACTGCTCTCACCTGCAGCATAAGGAATTGCTTTAGTAAGCCCCGTGAAATCTGTTCTGGGGACCTTGGCTCTGCCACAGTGCTGTGCACAGAGGGAAATTTCAGGGCAAATGCTTCAGTTTTCAATGTGCTGCCAGAGCTTTCGATCCTGTGCTGCCCCCACTTTCAATTCTATGCTGCCCCATGCACACTCTATTCTTCCCTTAAATGGTCCTGCTGGCCAGGTTAGCGCTTCACATAAAAAGACACTGGGAGTGTTTGAAAAGGCTTTCACTGCACTACACATTAGACCAGAACAGCCTCATAATAAAGTGCACAAATAGAGCTCCTCACAAACTCTGAGAAGCCCTTCACAATGTGCTCTGTGTGGATTACCACACTTGCAGCCTCACAGCCTCAGAATAATTACCACTCAAAAAGGGGCGGAAATAAAGTGCTCAACAATATTCAAATACCGAGTGTTCCCTGCTGGGCAGAGAAAACAGAACCAATTCAGCTTGCACCATATGGAAAATGTTAGTTCCCTGAGTGTAGGCAGCCCTTATGCAACATAGCCCACGCCACACTCATTTGTTCTATATCACTTCTCCTGCTGTAAGCCCAGGCAAGCTATCAATAGCTAACTACTCCTGCTAACAGGTACTAAAGGTGACATCTGAAGAACAGGGCAGGCTGAGAAATGGCATAGGAGCTACATCCAGAAGTATGAACATTTCAGATTTCTAGATACAGCTCTGATCATTGTTAAGAGCTAGGTTTGTGTATTTATATAAGGGTTATATAAACTAACTAAATTTCCTGAGCCAGATATACTCTGGATGACCTCATGAAATGTGGGTCACCAGGGTGTACAGAAGGCAAGTTATGGTGAGTCACAGAACCTGCAGGGTTCATCTATGGCAAAGCAGCACACTCTGATTAGCCTTCTGTGCCAAATCTATCTGTAGATAGATTTGACCAAAATTCCTTACATAGCTAAACAAGGAAGATCCAGGATGAGTGTGGAGGCTGCTGCAAATCCAATGGCAAAATGACAAGCCAGCAACACTTGCAGTGCTATTTTGAAACTATGGAAAGCAAGGTAGGGAACTGAAGTACTGAGTAGTAATGAAACCAGTAATTCTGGAGCCCCACTTCTGTCATTCATAACACTGAGATCATCACAGAAATGGGAAACGCCTCTTCATTTTTTTTCTTAAAGAAAATAATTTGTTCTGTGTACACACTTGGGGATTTTTTGTTTGTTTTGGTCTTGGTTGGTTGGATTTTTTAAAAATTCCTAATGGTACATGAGCCAACACAAGAGTTCTGTCAGGGCATTTTCACTGAACTATCCATAAGACTTTGCATCAGGTTTTTGCTGCTTGAGACAATGAGTCTGCTCCTGCATACAGCAATGAGCAGTTCTGCCTCTGCAGTTACACGTGCCCCTTCCTCTACTTCCTCTGTGCTCTTAATTCTTAAATTCAAACAGAAAAGTCACACAAAACAGCAGCTTTTCTCTGCTGGCTGATGTGCTTGTTCTTCACACAAGTAGAAGGAATTCACTCTTTTTTAGAAGAGCCTCACATTCACATGCCATCTGACAGCTTTTGAATCTTCCCCACACTGACTTTATGTAAGTTGCTGCTGGCAACACAGCATGAAAGTTTTTAATGAAGCAAAACAGGCAAAGAGATTAGTGAAATTGAATTAATGAGAATGAGTGGCATGTTCCACTTTTAGATTAGGTTACCTGTAATTTCTTCAAAGACAGCATGAAATCCATCAAAGTTCTTGGATCCATCAGACTGGAAGAGGACATGGAGTGAAGACCCAGTGCTTCGGATGGGAGGTGGCCTCTCATTTCCACAGAATTTCTTTATTATTTGACTGTCCAAATTGTCCCCGTCACGAATCTCCACATAGTCATACTGGCACATATAATCAAACTCCAGGCTCAGCATGGAAAATCTTGGGGAACAAGGACAAACAGTCAGACTGCTTACCTGTGTACCCTGAATACTATTTATTTGGGCATTTTGGTATTTAGGGCCTACCCCCCTCAGTGAATCAACAAGTCCCTAACCACACAAAGACCCCTCACTCATCTCAATTTTTTCATCATCATGCCTAGAAGCTGGCTCAACTCTATACAGTTGCTCCATGAGAACATTCAAGTATCAGAACAGTGAAGTCTAAATTGAAGTCATACAATCTATACACGTACGTGCATTAGGTTCCCTAACCATAATACAATGTCAGAACATTCATCCAGGCTCAGGCACTGCAGGGGGCATATTTCTACTGTTGTTGCTTGCTAGAAAATGTTCTATTTGCCCTAAATAAAGTTCCAAGTACTGAAAGTTACAGTATAAAATAACAAGCTTCAAAAGCTGTTTACATTATGATGTTCAGAAGTCAGCAATTAGGGATACAAGGAAAGCTTGGGGATGTAACAGAAGCAGAAACAGCCACAGAAATGGAATCAAAATACTACAGCACGTTTTGCATTAGAAACAAAATGGTAGTAAATCCCCAATGTGTGGCACTTGCCCGTCTTTTGAGAGCAGAAATAAGGCACAGGAATTAGTGCAGAAGGGAAATACTTAAAGCCTTTTCCCACAATGTCTGTCGTTTCCTAGCTTCGATCCAGCCACTGTGCAAGGCTTTTGTTCATTAACAGCCATGCTATATGCTGCCATTGGAATTCAGGTGGGCACAGAGCCAAAGCACCCCACCAGAATATGAACGAGAAACAGAAGGAGAAACACCAAGTGCCTCTGGAGAATGTGTAATGGTCAGGGGGGGCTGGGCTCAGCCTTGGTACAGCAGGAAAATGAGAAGAAATGGGCATGGGAGAGGCTGTGCTGCTAACTGTTCAGCAGGATATTTTATAAATGAAACACATTATGTACTCGATCTTCCTTAAGACTCCTAACACTGCAGATGTGTATTTAGGATTAGGCTTTATCTCCCACATTGCCTATTTCAGTGTGGGCCTAGTGGTTTGCAAAAACTGCATTTTCACACCAAAGAGGTGAGACAAATTTTGGATCTGCTCCTGGACTTCACAGTCTGAAGGGAAGAGAATTCTGGAGCCTGTTTCATACTATTCTTATCTTCAGACTCAGGCACCCATGTTAAGGAGGCCTCCATGTTCCTCCACCTTCCCTTGACAACTCATGAGCTGACTTAAGAGGCCTCTTCACTGAGTCACCTTTGTTCAGGTCATATGGCTGGTTTTTGAACATCAGGAGTACACTATCTACAGAAAAATGACTGAGCAGTTGTAGGAGGCTGCACCAGTGGAGCAGAGTCCCTCATTTTTTTAAATCATCTGATGGAAGGTAGAAGAAAAAACAAAACATCTGCTTTAAATATGCATTAGAGAGAAATAATTCAACTTTGCTTTGCATAAAATGCATGAGTTGAATTCTAGTTCTGTCAGGTCTGTCAGAGACATCCTCATACGTATCAGGTTATACACTACATTTTCAAAACATTCTTTCACTGGTGAAATATACCCCAGGGATCTACCCTTATGGAAGTTACAGAGGAATAAAAATTAACCCATTCATCTTTGTCACACTTATCAGGCTACACTTTATCCTGACCCAATCCTAAAAATACCTTCTGGTTTTCTGAACTGGTACATTTCTGATTAAAATTAAGGATGTGTGCAAGTACAAAAGGAAAATTTCTGGAATGCCCACCATATACTGGGAGCAGTATTATTTATAGGTGTAAAGGTAAATTGTGTCTTGATGTGTGTCCCTGAACAAAGAATGTCAAGACATAGGCACAGAGAATGAAAGAACCATACACAGAATACTGGTTTTAATTGTTTGCTTTCTCTGTTTTAAAAAATGATGAAAACAGAGTGGAAAATGTGAAAGGCATAGGGGTTCTGAGTTGCATTTTATTTCACTTGGCAAAGAAGCAGATACACTGTACTGATGACATGGGATCCTGTGATTAAGACTCAGAATTGGCAGGTCAGGAAACCTGCCAAAGCTTTTAAAAACCTCCTGGCTATGGCCCAGCTGACAGGATCCTTTACAGACCATGAGGTCTATTGCTGTTTAAGCCTCAGGTACACACAATTCAACAGACCTCAGTTTCCTCACCAGTGAAAACATAATTATATAATAATTATCTTGGATATTATAAAACTCAGCATGCTAACTTTGTGCCACAGGTCATCAGATAAAAAATGGAATGAGAACTATTGCCTTGATTTCATCAGTGGCTGCAGTGGGCATATATTGGCCAACCCCTCTGAGGAAAGCCTCTAGCCAAAGGACATCTTTAAAACTGCATCTCTCCTGAGGCACTAAAGAAAAGAATTGAAAGTTGTGAGCTACTTCCACTGTGATATGACATCCTTGACATGACTCAGGCTGAGTCATGAGGGAGCCCATACAACACAACCCAAAAAAAAGCCCCAAGGCTGGGAAAAAAAGCAGAGAAAACAAACTACCACCACAACATGGACACTATTTATCAAAATAGCTCTACTGAGCCAACCCCTGAAGGACTGCATGGCACAGCTTAAAGCAAGGGAAGATTTATCTGTGCTCCTGGGAGTTTTACTCTTCCTGCCCTATGCAAGCAAAGACAACCACTTTGTTTGCCTTCTGTATTATGCTGTCCCCATCCCTGCCCTTCAAGCCAGGGTGGCAGCAAACAGGATTTGTGCACAGAGAAAATGAAAAAAGTTCTTTTGTTGGCAGTTGTGCTGATTCAGCACAGTGTTGGCTGTTAACACTTCACCCAGAGATAGGTGCATTCAATAATTATATGCATGCACAGGATCCATGTCCACCCTCACACATCACATCCCCACTACAGCAAAGACAGGGTGACACCTGTAGTGCTTGAAGCACTTTTTAAGCCTCCCAACTGACAAAGCCCTTTTCAGAAATGTAGAAAAATATAATCTCCCTAAGCTTGTGCTGTGCAAATCATACACCTCACCAACAATATATCTTAAAAAGAAGGCAGGTACAGTCCATGCTGACTGACACTGATGCAAAGTTGTTTCATGTGAACAGAAAACTCTTCGTCACAGCATTCTTCCTGTGTCTGCTACACAATGCTATCTAGGCAATAACAGGTCATAATTACACAATAGGCTTGCATTTGCAGATCTGAAAAAAGTGCATTAGTGTGGGAAAACCACAAGCTCTTCTTTTCAACTGATCTGTTGTTCTTCCTCCCATTAAGCATCTCTTCAAACATATTTAAACTGTTTAAACGTATTTTAACTGTTTCTGTATCTAGCATAGTTCTTTCGCCTGGGCTCCAAAGTCGGTGAAATATTGAAGGGCTAAGCTATTCTTTTTATTCTATTAGATAGTGTGTTTCGAATACCATCCCCTGCTATACTTCCTGCTGCATGTGTGAGCACCCTGCTGTGTACATTTGGAAACATTATTAATTACACCAGCAAGAGGCTCTCCTGCACTAGGCAGGAACTGTGAGCTTGACTCATTAGGGGTAAGCATACACACCTCAGAGGAGGGATGACAGGACAATAGGACACAGGCTGTGTGAGGGGAAGTTTAGGCTAGACATTAGGAAAACATTAAACACTAAAGGAGTGATGGGGCGTTGCAATGAGCTGCTCAGGGAGATGGTGGAGTCACCATCCCTGAAGGTGTTTAAAAAAAGACTGGATGTAGCACTGAGTGCCATGATTTAGCTGATAAGGTAGTGTTAGGTCACAGGTTGGACTTGATCTTCTCAAAGGTCTTTTCCAACCTAGTTAATTCTGTGATTCTGTGACTTGCAGGAGAACCAACCACATCCTCCAGACGTAGGAATGGTGGGAGGAATAACTGAGGCTGATAGAAAACAGGGTTGGTGAAAAGACTTAAAAAAAAAAAAAATCCAAAAGAGAGGGAAAATGAAGGCTAAATGCAAGGTAGGACTCATGGACAACTCTCTCCTTGCATGAGACATTATATTAAAACTTTCTTACATCTTTTCTTCAAAGAATGTCTTAGTTCAGCCTGGTACAGCTTAGTTCAGAAAATACTGGGTGCTTTGCTGTCAAGGTCTTGAAAACAACTCTAAAGAGACACATTGTGCCCAATGCCTGAGAAACTCTCTTCAGCATCCATCTGTCCTTAGCGGGAATTTAAAGCACAGCACTGATCTGTCCAGAGCCTGTCCATCACAAGCCAGACCAGGGGAAAGAGCTGTGGTACCAAATGCAAAGTGCTTGCAATACCTTCACTGCCCCAGGGTTCACAGCTGCTGACCCTCTTTGACTCTTGGTTACCCACACAACCCCATGTCCACCTGAAATCAGTGCTGGCTAAAAGTCAGTAGGACCCACCTTAACTCAATGTTAAATCCAGCTTGAACATGGATAGTCCATTCACACCGTGCATTCAGTGGGTAACCCTCCAGCAAAATCTGACCTCTGGAAGCCCGAAGAACCTGCCCACACCCTGGGGAGAAAAAGAAGAAAAAAAATTGTGTGAAGGACCTTCAAGAGACATTTGAAGAAAATATACGTAGAAATAACACCAGAAGGAGATGACAGGATGGCATACACTCTTTCTTACAAGGCAGTATATAAAATACTGGGACAGCCACACAATGGTTGTAAAGAGTTATGACTATATTGGAATATTGTCTAGGCTAAGAGTACCCCCGGGAAAATTGTAGTTGATTGCTTCTCCCTGGTTTGCAATGCAACTTCATGGAACCATTTCCTGCAGCTTTTGCCTCTCTGTTAATTAGCCCACCTACACACCTGGCTGATGCTCTAGCTCAGAACAGTTTTGATGGAGCCCATGCTGATATTTGCAACCACTGAAGCTGAGGAAAGTGGGAAAGTGACAAAACTACAATGAACACTTGAATTAGCTCAAGTGAGCAAAAGAATGAGACCAAAAATCTGTTGCACCCAATGTCATGGTTGCTAGTCCTTCATACGGAGACTGGGACGAAAAAGAGCTGATATATTCATAGAGGACAAGTTTGTCCTCAGGATTCACTACATCATCCTTGCATGTTAATGCCACCATGCCAATGAAGATATATAAACATCACAGCTCCTCTATCATCAGCGTGACACTGATGACTCAGTGTGACACATATAGAATATATAGCCCTTATCTCTTCTTTCAGGTTCATTCTTATCCTTCCTCTAGTCTTGTTCCACTCTGCCTCTGGCAGTTTTTCACCATACTATGGAATGTACTTCAGCACCAACAGGATACAATTAAGTACTCCAGTCATTTGTGCCCAATCTAAGAAAACCATCAGAGGACAATGAGCTGAACAAACAGCAGACAAGGTCACACCAGGGGAGCAATATCTTTTCATGACAATCCTGCAGCTGTCCCTAGGCATCTGTCCAGGGATAGTTGTCCTAATTCCTCATCCTGAATGCTGAACATTTTTAGCCCAGAGAGTTCTCTCACCTTCAGTAACCTCTCCATTTTCCCCAGCCATAAAATATGGCTAATTATATTTTCCTCTGTGGAAGATGCAAAGTTGTTTAGTGATTTTTGCAGAGCTTACTGTGATCTGCACATGCATGTTCTAGCCAAATGCACAGTTAAATCACTATGTATCAGAAAGAGCTAATTTTTTGTTCCTACTTTCCTGACTGCATCTTTCTGAGTGGAGTCTTGCACATGGCTACATCTCCTGGTAAGCCTTCTGTTGCTTTGCTGGAGTATGTGGCTATAGCTGTAAGCCAAAAATTGCAATTCAGTCTAACAGCATCTCTCTAATCAGGAGAGTCTACACACCGCAGATGAGGATAAGCAAAAAGCTGAATGACCCAAAAGACCTCCACAGCAATTCTCTCACATCTTTTTACCTCTTCAGTCCGACAGAAAGCTCTGCTGCTTCCGTCTGTTTCCCTAGAGAAACCTTAAGCTTTTAGCCAGTAACCCAGGATGAATGTTTCCTACTGAAACAGAGGGTTTTAACACTTGCCTCCGGGCCCTTCCTTCCCGAGGGAGAAAGGGTGACAGTGACCTGATTTGGTGAAGGACCGAGCATCTGTGGTTCCCATTGATCATAGTGTCTGGAAATCAATCCTGCTGCATCTGGTCTATGGGGAAACATGAAGACTGCAGGTCAATTCCTCCTCTTTCTTCTTAAGAAAGTGTTGCTCAAATGAAATACCCTTTGTTCATTTACCCTCGGTTACCCTTAATTAAGCAGGACCCAAAGAAACAGAAATCCTGCTCAGAAGAGTTCCTCAAAAGTGTTTCATCCTCTTCTGTGGCTCGCTCAGTTCCCTCTGTAAAAGGCGAGGATTAATGAGTGTGCCCAGCAACCACATTAGGATTCAATGAGTACAGCAGGATCTGCTGTGGTGAAAATGATAATGCTCCTTCCCACAGCAAGAAACAGGCCCTTGTGCTGCCATTGGCTCCTGCCTCAAAAACAACCTGAGACAAAGCTGCTAGAAATCTTCAGAGGGTTTGACAGGGGGCTTGGACCACCTCAAAGAAAGTTTCCCTTTCGTCCTGAAGGGCTTTTGAGTTTTCGATGCCTTTAACAAAGGAAAGCCAAAGAACTGGTGCAAAGAGATACTTGTATGCACGGCATACTAAACACACTTCTCTGTTTGCTGTGGTACAGCCTGAACTCTCTGGACACTGGCGCCGAGGAAGTAGGTTTGGCCAGCAAAGCAGGTGGTCCAGAGACTAAAGAGGAGCTATTCAGTGACCCGCTCCAAAAGAACGTTCTCAGGTCTGCTCCCACCCTTCTCTGCATGAAGCACCTTTGCGATCACATCAAATCTGTGCTCTTTAATCTCCAGCACTTCGAGAAGTTAGGCTGACTCCCCAGACCAACAGTTCAATCATATGTTGATCAAAAGGAGTCTTTTCTCTTCCTATTCTAAATCTGCAGGAGACCTGGAAAGCCCTCAAAAATAATTTACATCATAAACACAAATGCTGGCAAATTCTGCCTCATTTACAAAAAAAATAAACCACTTTGGCAGAGTATCAACATCCTTGTTCCGTTCCTGTTCCTGAAAAAAAGGCAGCTTTCAGGGCCACAGTAAGATTTCCTCCAAGGCTTGTTACTAACAGAGAATAAAAAAATTCAGGAGACCTCTGAGTTGTAGCCCACAGAGACCCTTGGGTCTATGGAGGGAAAGGTCCTGAGATGACCTTTGGTAAGAACCCATTATCTTCTGTTTGAGTGCTGCACCTTAGATGTGACGCTCCTTGACTGAACAGAGGAGAAAGACAGGAGAAAGGTTTCTGCTATTCAGAAACAGGCTGATATGGGAAGGCAGCTGTCACTTGTCACAACTTGTTGCTTCCTGTTGGTTGTTGGTCACCAGTATTATGTGAAACAGTAATGTTCAGACGATTGTTTTGAAATGTTTTGAAACTTGTAGTTTCAAAAACTACAAGTACTCTTGTCTGGCACAGGGTCCACATTTGGGCGGCAGAACTGAGAACAGCTGTTAGAAAACACCACTTTCTCCCCTGCTTTGATGGAGCATGTGCCTTGAAGTGACATTACAACTTGGGGCTGGCAAAAACTGTTGGAGCGCAGGGTACAGAGGAAAGGGTTCTGCAGGGCTGGTTTTCTACTGGTTTTAGAGCCTGATGTGCCTTTTGGGCCACGATGATTCAATCCAAGAGAAGTCCCATTAGGAAATATCCTAGCACCCAATTAAATCTAGTCAGCGTGCTTATTTCCTAATAGCACTCCTTTGGCGACCCTGTATAATTTATCTTTTTACCAAATGATCTGGTATCCTTTGGTGGTTTTTCAGCCATACCCATGCTTCCAGCTATGCCAGCGGATACTATAAACCTGACAGCCCCATGGGCCATCCCGTGGTACTTCTCCCTTGCCATGGCCCTCTATCACCGCTACTTTTGCTGGCAGCTCCCACAAACCTCTCCCGGAGGCTCACGCTGAGCTGGCGAATGCACTCAGCCCCTGGAGCGCTGCCGGAGGCTAGGCCTCATTGTTCTCCCGGAGGTGCCCAGACCGTGCCTCACAGCTCCCCCGGCCGTGTGCGGTATCAACAGGCACTGATCCTGCCCGCAGATCCTCCGCGTCCCCCGCGCTCCCCTCCTGCCGCCCATCCCGCGGGATGACCGGGGCCTCACGGCGCGGCTCCCGCGGGCCCCCGCCCGCCCCCTACCGCCCGTGCGGCGCCGCTGCCGCCGGGGCCCGCGGGCGGCCGGGGCTGCAGTGCCCGGGGCGCTGCCTCAGCACGGCCCGGCAGCGCAGGGACGCGGCCCGAGCGGCGCTCGCTCGCTCGCCCTCCCGGCCGGCCCCGGCGCCGGGAGCCGCAGCACGGCGGCAGCGCCCGCCGGCCCCGCGAGAGGGAGACAGAGCCCGGCGCTCCCGCCGGGAGCTGCCGCCCGCCCGCGCCGCGCGAGAGGCCGCGCCGTGCCCCGGCAGCGCTGGCGTTGGCAGTGTGGGACAAGTAGGCAGGTTTTTACATCCCGTATTACCGTGGTGGCGCCTCGTTGTAATTCTGGGATTTCTTGGCCCTCTGCCGCTGGCGAGGCACCCAGGGCTGGCTGCAAAGTTTCAGCTGTGATGCCGTATGCAGTACCAGAGAGAGATGGCTCCTCCTGTGCTCTCCCAGATGTGGTGGGTTAGCACATCCACGGCTCCAGCAGCCTGTGCCCCCAGGCATTCCAAGGCTACTTGCTGGCCACCCTCCAGACCCAAAGCCACATCGCTGGCAGGCGCAGTCCGGCACCCACCGTGGTTATGGGCTGCTTTCCAAACATGCAGTTTTCTCCATGCCGGAGCCTACCATCAAGGCCAAAATCGAGATAGCCGCAAAAGGGAAACTCAGGATGTGCTGGCATCACAGCTCTCCTCTGTGTCCCCACTTTAAGAATGGAAGAGACAACAGCACTGTCTAACCTTCCCACCCCACCTCTCAAGCACCACAGAAACACGTGAAAGAGAACACAGCCTCACACTGCTGTCACACTGCTTCCCTTAAAAGAGCAAGTAGTAAGAAAAACATTATAAGACAAAGCTGTCCAAAATTTCAGTACTGCAAAAATATCCAAATAGTCCTCTGTGTGAAGGTGTATTTGCTTCAATACAAGTGGGAAGAATAAACTGAAATATACTGTAGGCAACCAGGCAGATGGAGGAAAAATTAGATGAGTTAATGACTCTTTCTTGGCTCTTCTGTTAAAGAAAATTCCAGAGAAGCTCTAGCATGCACCTAGAGAAAATGGGACTTTAAAGTGTTCTCAGAAATCACGCTGTAAATGGCAGGGGACTCAGTTGATCAACTTCCAAAGCCTCAAGGTTGAGTTATCTCTGTTGCTGAAACATCTTGATTCCCCACATTCTGCTATTTGAAGCAAGGATTTAATTTTATATGCTTTCACCTTCTGAAAGGTCATGGGCAATGTTGTGAATGCAAGTTAAATTGCTTTAAAATCAGTGGCTAAGAGGACACAAGCCTAAGGTATGTAGCACAATGGACAGAACAGAGTAGGGAAATCAGACTCTGCTTTTATCTCTTCCAGCAAAATATGAACAAAGAGACAATCAATAAAAATTGAACGAGAGCTTCACCTTCACTGGTGGAAAATTGGTGAAGGAAATACCTGTCTTAAACATTATACAGTTAGCTGATGGAATTCATTATTGAAAGACAGAATTGGGATTAACAACTTAGCAAAACCAAAAAGCAGAAGCTTTTGTACACTGTCAGGTACAAAACCTTTAGATATTGCTACCAGGACCTGAAACAACTCATTGTTGTGACATAATCAGAAGCTGCAAGTTAGTGTTTTTTAGAGGCACCTTGAAGTGTGCTGAAGATGTGTGGCAGGGGAAGGAAACACTGGGATATCCTTGGGGTTGGCAGGGGCTGAAGGAGGACAGAGGGCAAGCTCTTTGATAAAGCTGTTGTCCTTGTAAATGTTTATGCTTATGCTCAGCGGCTATGATCCAAGAAATGCAGATTACAGAAGATTTCCAGAGTTGTGGTAGTTAAAGTTTTAAAATAAACCAAACCTGAACAGACACTTAGTAGGGTTCTAACCCACCATGACATGAGTTCCTCTCAGACAAGCAGTGTGAGAGGAGTTTTTTTCCTAATTGTAGATCTGCTTACTGCCTGATTGTGTTTGCCTTCTCCTGCTTGTGCCCTTTGCAAGAGTTGCTGTGCAGGAATAGCTGGAAAGGCACAGCATGGCCCTGGCTCTGTCCCACCACTCCCTGTCCCTGACATCCCTCCCTGCCCGTGCAGGACACTTACTCATGCAGTCCCCTCCGTACCAGCCAGCTCTGCACTCTGCACAGTAGATTCCCTTGATGTAGAAGTCGTCAAGTGTCCCTCCCCAGGAACCATTGCGACAGGACTTGCAGTTCTCAAAGATGGTGCAGCCTAAAAAGAGAGCCACTGTGTTAGACAAAAGCCAAGGTGGATTGTCCTGCAGGAAGAGGAGCAGCCTCTCTGTCTTTTCCACAGAAAATGCCAATGACGTTAATGACTGCAGAGCTGCTGACAGCTCTCCCGCTGGGAACCATACCCAACCTCCACGCCCTAGGCAGCTCAGACTCTGAGATTTGGAACCAAACTCCCAGTCTGACTTGCCCAAACTTCTAAATCTCATTGCTCCAACTGTAAATGCCTCTCTTAGGAGTCTGAATGTGTGTGCTGATGCCACTTGGGCCCAGCTTAAATGATTCTGATGACTTTTAAACTGGTCCTAGCTCCTCCTGCTCTCTCCTCCTATCACCTTTCACCTTTCTTTTTCCTCCTTGCTTGTGGGACTTCCAAGTTGTCTCTCCTTTTTTTGCTTTGGGGATGCAAATCAACCAAGAGTACCACCAAAACACTCCTGGTGTGAAGCCAGCTATAGTGTCACCATTTGGCAGCTTCCAAGCCTGCCCAAGACATCCTGGCAACACTGCTAGTAGAAAGTGTTGGGTTTTTTGGCCAGTGATGCTACCTGCTTTGGAGGAACCTTGCCAAGTGTCTTGCTGCTGTCATCTGAGTGGCAGATGAAGTTCCTGAGGAAATGCAAGACAATCTCATGCCTCAGTGAGATGTGCTTTTTCACCACTGCCCTGCCCAGCATCTGCCATGATGCCTTGGCCAAAGATTTGGTGTGAACACAGCATAGCCACAAACACACCTGGGTGGATTAAACAGGAGTCACACTCGTTCTCCTCATTCCTGCAGCAGGGAATGGTGTAGCCCACTCTTTCTTTCTGTCCTGGGCAGATGCACTCGATTTGGTCGTATTCACAGCATTCCCGACACATGATATTCCACTCGGCTCCTGGGCAGTTCTCATTGATCACTGTGTACTCTGCAGTGAATGGAGAGGAGGACACACAGAAACAATCCATTATCTGATCAGGACTGGCAGGATCTATTGTTCAGGGGTTTGTCATGAATCATGGATGGCATGAGGCTGGCCAAGGTCTTCAGCCCAGAAAAACTCAAAATGTGTGGCAACATGTGCCTGAAATGTCCGTGTGGTTTGCATGTCTAAGGAACACGCAGGAGTTTCACAGTACCAGCCAGAGGAAGCAAACAGACCAAAGGGAAGGAATATATTTGCTTTTTCTGCAAGGCCTTCACACTTCTGTGGTGAGAAAAATAGCTTTAAAAAAACACAGAGGATGATATCACATGAGAAGGTTTCTTCAGACTGCAGGACTGATTTAAAGCACCATCTATAGTATAGATTATTTAAACTATGATAGCATGTTCTTGTTGTATTTCTGCTTGTGAATTTTCTATTCTTGAAAACTAGGGGGCTCACCAGGAAAGGCCACTTTTAAAGTCGGATTTTAGCTGGTTTCACTCCCTGTTTTCACCCAGAAGTACATGCTGTTACATTTCACTTCACTGCTGAAGGAAGTTGTTTTTAAAGGTTTGTTTTGCCTGGCATTTCTAATATGGTAACATCTTTCTGTTATTTAGCATAACCTCATATGATATCTAAGCTATGCTGGAAGTACCCTTTTAAGAAACAACCTTAGACTGTGACTCAGGATTGCCACAATAAGTGCAGATCCTACCTTTCCCCACCAGTGTGCTGTCTAAATTCTACAAAGAGAGATCCAAGGAGTGCACAGAGATGTCAGCATGCCTTCTAAGCAGCTGACAGCACTGATGACTGCTTTCATGGAGTTTGATAGTAAAAAGAGAGAGCAGACTAGAAAGATGACACATGAAAGAAACTTAATGAGACTAGTTCTTTTTTCCCCTTCTATCCTCCTCTTTTTTTCTTTTTTTTTTTTTTTTGTTTGTTTGGTTTTTTTTGTTTGTTTGTTTGTTTGTTTTTTTTTAATCGTGGTTGGGTAACAACCTTTTTCCTTGTGTATTAGACTCTGAGTAACAGGGCTGCCTTGTCATGAAACAACCCCTTTATCTCTAAGGTGAAACACTCCCATCCATGCCTGTACCTGTCTCCCTTCTCACACAACTGTTTTTTTGTTTCATTGTCACTGATAACCTAATTACTGTGCCTGCTGGAGCTCCCTACCACTGAGCCTTGCTGCTCTGTCTCACTTGACTCTCCATGACCTCATGAAGCCTGGTTGCTGGAAGCTTATCTTCTCCCCTAATGATTTTTACTGACTCCATAAAAAAGGACCACCAAACTGTTTCTTCTTTTTTTTTCCCCCCTTTGGCTGGGAAATGAAATGCAGCCCTTTGTGCTTCTCAGAACCGAGCCTTTCCCTTGTGCCTGGTGTACTGACCAGGGAGAGTCCGCTGCAGCTCTAAGTTTAGGAATGAGGCTGCTGTTTGTGCCGAAACCTTTTCATCCCCCCCTCTCTGCCCCATAGTCATTCCAAAAAGAAAAAGCTGTTCCTTCCATCCAATAAGATTCTGTATTTGTTTATTCCAGTAGTGGAATCTTGCACTGAAATAATCATATTGTTCAGCAGTTACAGACTCTTTTGCCTGTAGGTCTTGACACGCTTTACGAAGTTCTTTTTCCAGATGGGAAAATGAAGCACAAGGGAGGTGAGGTGACTTTGCTCAAGGTCCCAGGGAAAAACAATGGTAGAGTTGGGAATTAAACTCATGACTTTTAATTTCCAGGATGGCAGTCAAGCATCCTGGCCAGGCTGGCGCTTCTTAACCTATGGCTATTATTCCCTTTTAATTAAGCCTTTTATCTGTGAATTGTATCTGATTCAGATTCCAGAGAAAATTAATTACACACCTCTAATTATCTCTGTAGAACTGACACTCAGTTTGATACATCACACCATACAAGGCAGACAATAGCTGTGTCTCTGGTGTATGAGGTGGGGGTCTCACTCCTTCCTGAAGCAGTACTCTTTAAAGTCTGACTAAAAAATAACTACCCAACACTCAGAGCTTTTGTAAAGCATCCTTCAAATTCTCATTTTCTTCTAACTCAAGATAGAAATCTAATTTATCTCAAGCTTGCTAAAGCCTATTAATAAAGTGGATATATTATTCAAGAGAATTTTTTGTCTGCAAAATGATCCAAATATTCACAGGCAAACTTACATTGGGATGACAAAGGAATGTCTCCATCCTTGCAGGAACTCAAATCTGGCAAGATAAGGCTGTGAGTAGCACAACTTTCAAGTTAGCACCAAGAGATGGGCTGGACCATTTAGGTGACATCAAGAGGTCCCTTTCAACCTAAATTACTCTATTCTTCCCTAAAATATTACACATGTATTTTTATGCATGTAGAGAGTGTGAATGTGTGCATATGTGTATTTATTTTCATATGTAGAGCTTGTGTACACAACAGAGCCAAAAAGCAGAGGCCACGCTTATTCTTGGTGGATCAGATGTGTGTATTTGTAGAATAAGTTGACCTTGAGGTAATATTTAGTGTTAAGAAGGGAGCGGCAGATCTTGGCCCTTAATGAAATGTAAAAATAGACTTGCTGCCATCTAAAAATGCTGTTTGCTCACTTCTTTTGTCTCAGCTTAGACAATGAAAATAAACTGTCTTTTAACTTACCAACAATTTAATTCCCTTTCAGGTTCTTGGTTTCTGCAGTTTGGGCAATTTATATAGCCTTGACAAGGAAATATGTGGATTTGAGATTTTTTTAAATGGCTCTTCTAGGATTTTCTTCACAGGAAATCATGGAATGTACTCTTTTGAAGTTCTATAAAAGCTATTCTTTAAAGAAATATGATTGAAGAGTTTATGCATCCCTTTAATAATAGCAGGATCCTTTTTGTTTTATCTCTGGGTACTGAAAAAAAGGCAAATAAAACCTTTGCCTCACAAGTTTAAAAGGGATATGCAGAGAGTCACTTATGTGTGTAAGCAATGTTTGTTTGTCTGGCTGAGCTCAGCCTGTGCTCCATGGAGGCAGAGGCATAACCCTGCTCTCCCTTGTGTTTTTGGGGATGGGCAACCACTGGCAGCTCCCACACACGCACTTGGCCATTATTACCCAAAACAGAAGAGAATGAGGCAGAGAAAAGTGGGAGAAGATTTATTGACTGAGTAAAATGCTGAAAGCAAGGCCTTGGCCAGCTGTGGCAGAGATAATTGTCGGGTGTTTTGTGAGCTTTACTTTGATAATCTTCCAAAGCAGGCAGTCTGGCTTGCAGGCAGTGACTGTGTCTTTGATTTTGGGACAAGCCGGAAGAAGCTGCTTGACAACCCATGCAAAATATTTAACTGCAAAGAACAAACAAGACTCTGGACAGGCAAATAAACAGTGGATTAATTTATGAGATTTTAATGATGGAAGAAAAGCCCATTAAATCCAGGCATAAACATCTCACATGGAAGCAGCTCAAGACCATGGAAACCACGCAAAAAATGCCTGTGTTGGGAAAGCACGCAAACATCCAGGGCGTATGCTGGTGGGAAGACCTGCTTGGCTCAGGAGCCTGGCACAGCCCAACACAACACTTCACCTGATGCTTTGGGTTGAGCCTGAGCAGGACTGTGAGGTGGGAGATCAACATTTTCGAGTTCAGATGGCAGCATATTCATGCTTGCTACCTACATCTGCACCTAGCAAGACCTCTTCATCCCTACAGCATGTCAGATCCTAGAAGCTGTCAGTTATTGTATTCACAGGGGCCTCCGTGGCAGGGAGGAATGATGCATCTGACTCCATGTTCTCAGAAGGCTAATTTATTACTTTATAATACTATATTCTATTAAAGAATACTATACTATACTGTACTAAGGAATACAGAAAAGATACTTTCTCAATGCTAAAAATAATAATAATAATGAAGACTCTTGACTCTTTCCAGAATCCCAACACAGCTTGGCCCTGATTGGCCAAAGAGTCAAAATGACTCACACTGGAGACCAATCAAACAATCACCTGTGGGTAAACAATCTCCAAACACATTCCACACAGGAGAAGCAAATGAGATAAGAATTGTTTTCCTTTTCTTTGAGGCTTCTCAGCTTCCCAGGAGAAAAATCTGGCCAAAGGGATTTTTTTAGAGAATGTGAATGCCAGTGATGGATTTTGGAGGACACCAATTGGAGGCGATGCTCCCAATGTTCTCTTCGTTGGCAGTGTCAGTCCAACAGCAATTCACCTCAGTGATGCTGCTGCCTCCCCTCATGCCCAGGGCTGAGATCAGACTTAAAGCTTTGGTGATTCAGGAACAGATTCACAAGCACATTGTTGCCTCAGGGGTGGGTCAGGCCACATCATGGTGAAGTGTCAGCTTCAGCTGACTGATCTTTTGCCATAGTGAATTTGTATATCATAGATACCTCGCTATGGTATGGAAAGGGATTTCTGCTCTGAAGATCTGAGAGCTGGGAAAACTGAGTAGCTAAGAACTAAGGTGAATTGAAGCAAACCCAATTATACCAATTATCTTTTGTGTCTTCCACTTCTTTGGAAGAATGAGGATTTTTTTTAGAGTACAGTCACTTTGAGCTGATATAAGCCCGTGCTGCTGCTGAGATGGGACATTTTTCTCCCTCCTCTCTCTGATTCCCATTCCCAACCCTGTATTTGTGCTGACAGTAGCTGCTATGTTGAGGGATCAGACAACTGATTGAGCAAAAAACCAATTTGCCATGTCTGTCCTTGAAGAGAACTTCCTATGCTGCAAGTCCATTCTGTTATCCTGCAAAAGTTTTCCTTCCATGCCTCAGTTTATCCATCAGTACACTGGTAAGCACTACTTAAGCTCAAAGAAATATTATTTCAAATTGCTTTGAAAAGTGCCATTTGCAGTAACAGTGCAGTGTAAGTAATACCAGATACAAACAGATAGATACATTTCTAGAATTTGAGTCCATGGAGGATGACTTTTTGAAGTGATTATTTAACCAGTTCGTGTTCCACAGATGAGAACATGCCCCTTTGTATTTGATTTCATCTTTATTTTTCAACATACTGCTCAACAACAGCTACTGTCTTGAAGAAACAAGCAGCTGAATTTGAAGGAGCAATTTCTTAAGGCTGTTAGTAGGGAATGTTTGGCCATGTAATTATTCTGAAAGGATTCTTTAACTTCTCATCAAAGAAAAGACAGTTTCAACAGAGATGAAACCTAGTAGCAGCTTACACTTTCTTTAGGTCCATCTCATTTTTCTGCTCTTTCTTACTTGGCTCTACTGCCATTGCACAGATATGCAAGCTGAGCCTCACCCCGCAGCCATCAGGTGTGTGGACACTGACAACAGGAAATGCTCTGAGTGCAACACTGGCTGAAACTGTGGCTCCATTGTGATGAATAGTAAAATTCTCCATTTGATTTCAGTAAGGCCAAGAGGAAGACACCTTGGAAGGGAAGAGGGATGTTCCCTTTAAGAGACTTTTACTGGGGCTCTTGGAAAATGATGTACCCCAAACCCTTAATAATAAAGGAAAGCGCAGGTCTTTATTGTTAACCTTTTTGCCTCCGATAAACTACTGTGCAAATTATGTCTGTTTGTCTCTTTGATGTGTTAAGAGGATGAAAGGGATAATGCTGTCTCTAAAACCACTTGCTTCTCTCTAGAAATTATGTACCTATTACTCTTTTCAGCAGCTGGACTAATTAAAAGAGGAGCTGAAATACATCCCTGTTTTAGTTTTACTCAGTGTGCTTACTTTATGGTCGCAGGCCTTTGCTGAATAATTAGACTGCTGCATCTACAGAGGCATCCTTTTCTGCCTGTAGTGTGTGCTTTCACACAGTGGCAAGTGTGCACAGATATGCAAGCTGAGCCTCACCCCGCAGCCATCAGGTGTGTGGACACTGACAACAGGAAATGCTCTGAGTGCAACACTGGCTGAAACTGTGGCTCCATTGTGATGAATAGTAAAATTCTCCATTTGATTTCAGTAAGGCCAAGAGGAAGACACCTTGGAAGGGAAGAGGGATGTTCCCTTTAAGAGACTTTTACTGGGGCTCTTGGAAAATGATGTACCCCAAACCCTTAATAATAAAGGAAAGCGCAGGTCTTTATTGTTAACCTTTTTGCCTCCGATAAACTACTGTGCAAATTATGTCTGTTTGTCTCTTTGATGTGTTAAGAGGATGAAAGGGATAATGCTGTCTCCATTGCTTCTCTCTAGAAATTATGTACCTATTACTCTTTTCAGCAGCTGGACTAATTAAAAGAGGAGCTGAAATACATCCCTGTTTTAGTTTTACTCAGTGTGCTTACTTTATGGTCGCAGGCCTTTGCTGAATAATTAGACTGCTGCATCTACAGAGGCAGTTAGCATCCTTTTCTGCCTGTAGTGTGTGCTTTCACACAGTGGCAAGTGAGGAGAGGCAAAAAGAAAGGATCTCTATTGTAAAAAAGAATCAAAGATAGTGGAAGAACACAGGAGAAAATCTACAATACTAAGTGGAATCTGCCAATTTAATAAATGCAAATTAATTTGACTGTCTTTTTAAAATACCCTTCTCCTTTAGTTTCTTCTGAGTATTTATGACCTGGCATTTGTGTTCTTATTGACACTGTGGCCTTGTGGCTTCATTTGAGAAAAGCTGTGACAGGAAGAAATAGCCAGGTTAAGACTCTTCAGAGGTTGCCATATCACCCTTCAGGCTTCAATTCTCTCTGAGGCAGAGGATCTTATTCTGGGCAGAAAAGTTATACTAGTATGATCAGGAAGAGAATTTGTCTTCTCTGTGCTGCAAGACAAGGAACAGGAACAGGTAATGAATGTAGAACTTTTGAGTAAGTGACAGCATTGATGATGTTAGACTTCTGCAATAGGAGAGAATGTTTGAAAATCTGCAGAGAAGAAGCAGCTGCAGTATTGAAATGAATTCATGACCACATAACGTCAGAATGTGCTCGTGTCCTAAACGTAGAGCAGTGGTGCTGGACCTGTCTTGAGGACTTGCCTCTGGTAAGGGTGTGAGACCTGCAACATGTTGACAACTTAACTTGCAGTTAATGTTGCCCAGATAGAAACCGTCCACACAGACTGCAGCAACCCTCCTCAAATTTTAATCCTTACAGCTCCCGTGGAGTGTGTAGTCCAGCCCTAGCCAAGGACTGAAGATGCTCTCAGTCTGCCAGGCCTCTGTCCCTGCTGATGGCTTGCCTCCCTGCCCTGTGGCCTTCCTTCCAGTCTGCCCCTCACCATATCCCTGTTCTTGCAGGAGGGAGAGGGGCATCCACATGCCCAAGGGAGGTCCTGCTGCTGACAACTGCATTGTCCTGTAGTGGTCAGGGTCCTTCAGGGATTGTGGAGAGAAAAATCCTGGGCACTGGCAGGCTTGCAGGGACTCCTGGGAGCTACTTGAAGAGACCTCAGGGTCAAAAGTGAGTAACCCCAGCATTCTTTCCAAAATAAAAAGCAAGTTTCTTTGCCTTTGTCAATGCTAGGAACCTAAACATGTGAACTGAAGTAACCCATTTGCTAAGATTGAATGCATCTGGATGTGTCTGAGTGCATCTGGCCTTCACTTCTCTAGACAGAGGCTGGGGGGAGGAGGGGAAGAGAGGTTGGGAAGGGTTTAGATAGGCAGAAACACACAAAAACACACATATATTTTTAAGGAAACATGAGTCACTTGCACTCCAAGTTTATTCCAAAAAGTAAATTCCCAGACCGCCCTGACTCCTGCCCCCAGCTCTCGAGGCAGGCCCTGTGCAACTGGGTGTGATAAATATGGATAAAAATTGGATACATCTGTGGGGAGGAGACAAAACGCTATTTTCCAACCTGCCCTGACATGTTAAGGCCACTGCACTTCTGAGTCACTCCCCTGTCTCTGAGAGCCCCTCCTGCTGTGGCTGGAGGGGGCTCCTGGCCCCCTCATGCTGCCAGCTGTGTGCCAAGCAAGTGCCAGCAGCTGCTCCACCACCAGCAGCAGGGCAGGGGAGGCATGGCAAGCAAGGGCCGGGGGACAGCTGACATCCATGTGTCCCACAGGCTCTTCTCACACTGCTCCTGGTGTGCGAGGAGTGGGTGTTGGGGGAGCCAGCACCCTCCCTCCAAAGCTCTAAAGCTCACAGCCCTTGTGTCCCACAGGCCATTGTTGTCCTTCCTCCTGCATCCCGTTGTCCCTGCTGCCGAGGGGATCAGTGCTAGATTACTCTGCAGATCGGAACTTTCCACGAGAGAGACGTGCTGCCCCTGCAGCAGGAGGGGCTTATGCCCACCCAGCTGCCTGACAGCCACAGCCTGTGCCCAGGGATGCTCTGCCACTGGCAGGGCTACTTCTGTGCCACTCCAGCACATGGCACATCCATGGAGCCACCTTGCCTGGACAGTGTGCAAGGTGGCACGTGTCTGAGGGATGGGCCACTGCAGGGACAGGTCAGTGCATGTGGCACAGAGGTGGGGAGAAGCTCTCTGTGCTTGTGACCCAGGGGGAGCTTTGGCAGGAGGCCAGCCTCCCAGGATGGCTGCAGGTGCTGGTGGCCAGCCTGCTGGGCAGATGACCCTGTCATCACCTGTTCCCTGTGTCCTGAGGGCTTGGCAGGGAAGGGCACTGCACAGGCAGACTCTCTGCTGCAGCCCCTGCTGTGGGGACCTCTGAAGCACCATCCTTGACACCGGTTCTTTACAGTCTTTGAGATCTGAGTGCCTGCAGATCTGACAGCTCCCCTGGTAAGAGGAGTCAGCAGTACTGAAATATGCAGCAGCTTCAAGGGTGGGTGACTTGAGGGCACCTCACTCCCAGTCCTTAGGGCTGCAGCTCCCAACAAAGCAGCCCATGACAGCTGGCTGCTGCAAGCAGGTCTGGACACCTCCAGGTGTAAACGGCCCAGGTTCGTGGCCATAACTACAGCAAATTTGCACTCAACAGTAAATGCTTTTTGCTCAACCTTATCAAGATAATACTTGCTGGTTCAGCAGAAACTGGGATGGGGCTTGAGTATAAAAAAAAATTCTTCTGCTTTAGCAAGGCTTTCCCTTCGAGAGAATAATATTGGAAGAGCTAAATCCCAGATTGGAAACAATGTGTGGGTTTTGTTTTCTTTTTTTCCTTCACTTTTTTCTCCCTTGCCTTCATTCTTGGTGTTGGGGCTGGAGAGGAAAATCTCTGTCTTGCCAAACTAAACAAATTACGCTTTACAATTCAGAGACTTAAATGCCTCTTTTTATCATCATTTCCGTAGCACTGAGTGTTGAGAAAATAAAAGGAGTAATAAGCAAAGTGATTGCATACCTTTTTCTTAATGGCCATTGGCAAACAAATTCAGCCAGTTGTTCCTCTTTAAGGCTATTAAGTTTGCCTGAAAATCATTCCTGGGTAAACCTACACACACACACACACACACTCCATGCTGACAAGAAAAAAAGTACATAAAGCAGAGCCCCTTCGTTCTCTTATTGCTGTCCCTGCAGATCTCTCTGCTTCCCATGACAGCGCATGAGATCAAACCCCTCTGACCACACTGAAGGAAGGGGGCTCATTCGACCGTGCCGGGAACACACACGCTCTCTTACAGTACCTCTTGGCAAGCAGGAGATGAGCAGGAGCTGGAGAAGAGTGAGTCCTACAAGTGTCCAGGGTGCTCGCTCCATACTGCCCAGGCCAGTGCAGCGGTGTGACTGCTCGGGAAGGGAAAGCAGGCAAACAGCTTTTACTGGGACCTCACCAGCTCCAGGCTGCGAGGGATCTCGGATTTCAGACCTCAGCACGCTCCCATCCTCACCAGAGGGGAACTACCTTCAAGAGACTTCTCAGGCGTCCAGAAGCACACGTCACCCCAAACCTCTCCAACTGCTGCCTTAACCCTTTCTGGACTCTGGCAACAGATCCTTTCTGTGATGGCTTTATTGGCTCAGTGCTCACAACAGAGATAGCAGCTTTCCTTATGTAAAGAAAGCTGTTTTAAAGCGGGCAGGGAGAGAAATGCCGATATCTCTCTATATGAGCCATCCCGGTTGCTGCGGCTGAGCTGAAGTTACGGACATCTCCAGAAGGAGGCACTTTGTCCTTGCTCCCGTTGGGCTCGTGGGGCTGATGCATCCCGGGGGGTGGCAAGGCTGGCTGTGGGGTGGGTGCAGAGAGGCATTCCTGTCCCACACTCCCGCAATTGGCAGCCTGGCCAAGTGACATGGTTCGCTTTACTATGTGCTTAAAATAGCCGTGCATTTTTATGGTGGGGCAGATGAATGAATGAGGCTCAGTAAAAGTTCACTCCACAGTGGATGAAAACCACAACACACAAAAGGAATCACTTGGCATACGTGTGCTTGTGCTAGTCAAAACCTTTTTACTGTCCATTTCTGCCAGGAAATGCAATTTTGGCAAAATTGAAATGTTTTGTCAGAACACACTGATATTGAGGAAATGTTTAATCCAAACAAAGGAGACCATTTAGTTTGGATTTTATCTTTGTGTCATATTTTGTTTTGCCTTTTCTATTAGCACATGCTACTGACTTTTTTTCTGGTCTTCAACCCATATTTCATGGTAGCCTACTTAATTTTCTCTAAAATTTTTCTTGAATAATTTTTAATACTTTCCAAAGGATATGTTTTTTACCTCTAAATCATACTTTCTCAGTTTGATTTCTATTGCAAAATTTCAATATTTACATATATTATGAGGGGGGAGAAATTGAAAAATGGGCTTTTGCTTTGGAGTAGGAAATGGAGTAACCCAAAAAGCTTTAACAAATACCTACAGTTTGTAAAACTCAGGCATGTTGAACAGCCTCAAAAATTTGAGAGCCATTGCCAATGGAAGACTTGAGTAGTTCAGTGCAGTGCAAAATCCCCTTCACCTTCAGGTGGTTTTTCATGGGGTGAATTCCTTTAACCAGACATCTCTCTAGTTTAGGCTTGTCTGTCTGCCAACCTTTTGACTTTACACTGTGAACAGTCTTTTCAGGGTTCGTCCACCTTCCAACAAAACACTACCAAAGTGTATTTTTTTTCCCAAATCTTTAATACTGATACAAACCTACCACTGAGAATACTAATAGAAGAAAACCTGAGATGGGTGTCAAGATTATGTGCCATTATGCCACATAATCCTGGCTGAGCTAGCCTGGCTGCTGCCCTGGATGCTTTTCAGTTCAGGAGGAGCTCAGCAAAGCTCTACAAGTCCCACTGGGCCTTATTATGGCTCAGTTACTACGTTCTCCTGAGCCCTTGGTGGACATCTCTTGCCCCAGAGTCCTGAAACTCTGCCTTGGTGGTCCCTTGCTCCTTTCTGATCATTCATGTATATGCTCTAAACTCCTTCCTGATTCCAGCATAGAGCTCCTCTAACAAGCATTTCTGGTCAGTGGCAGGAGGAAAAAAATGGAGGATCAAAATGAAGCCCCCAAGAATACATGAAAACTGTGAAAACTGGAAGCTCTTACATCTTCACAAAGAAACACTAATCTATTTTAAAGCCTGTGGAATCATGATCAGTTTATTTCTTAGCCATTCTTTCCAGTAAGCAATTAAATAATTTAAGGTAGTAAGACCTTTTTGGACTGCAAGTTGACTTACAGATGTCTGAAGCTTAGATATCTCTGAGGGGGACTGCTCATGGGGATGCAAACCAAAATGTGGGTTTGGTATGTAAAGTGAATAGAAATCACAGCACTGAATGAGGCTGGACACAGGGAAGCAGAGTTTTAACATCAGATACAGAGGATTTAACACATGGTTTCATAAAGGCAAGAACCACTGGGGAAAATATGCCCACAAGGGCCACAACTATTCATTTGAGTCAATTCCTGTGGTGGGACATTCAACATGCTAGAAAAGAAATAGGTGAAGTTGTGTGTTTGCAGGAATCAGCTCTGCAGGGACACCTTCTGTTTTAGGGTAGAAAAGTGGTCCTTCTGTGCTAAGGAGGTGTGAAGTAAAGGGTTAACTGGTAGATTTATGGCATCCTTTTTTCCTTTCTTTGTCTCTGAGGGAATGTAATTATGCCACCAGACAATACAGCCACACTCAGCATTACTCTACAGTGCTTAGCTTAGCTTGGCACCTTGCAAAATCTTTTCAGTTGGTGGATCCACTGCCTCCTTAGAGAATGGCTCAGCAGCCAAAGAAGAGAATTCAGTCATAAGCCCACAAGTTTGCACATGGCCAACTTACACAGGTTGTCTGTTGGGATGTAGCCTTAGTCCCAGGAATGACTATGGGCAACTTACACAATGCTCCTGAATGCCCTGCTTGCATTCCTATTAAGAGGAAGGGACCAAACTAGGCACAGTGCACCAGTCAAATATTTCAGGTTGTATGTAATCCCCCGTGAAAGAAAGCTAAAAGCTCTTAACCATGTGTCTGTGCTGCTGAGGAATCTCACTTTAGCATTTGGCTTCAATGCTGTATCTGCCTTACCGTTGAATGTAAGGGTTTGGAAAGTACATTCCACTGAGGCTGAGTTGTAAAAGAGAATGCTGCAAAAACTGATAGAGTTATTGTGTATTAATAATAACTTCCAAGTTACTATTATAACCTAGCAATCCATTTCAACCTAGAGTAAAACAAGACCTTTATAACTAATAATTGACCACTGAGTGAATACTTAATGTGCAATTAATATCTCCAGCTCATGTTTCTAATAATTTGCCATGAAATCTGAAAAACATTGTGTGGTCCAACCTGCAAAAACAGAAAGAATGCCATTATTTTATAGTGGGGAAAAGTGACATGCAGGGATGTGAGCTGAGGCACATATTCTGAAAAATAGTGGCAGGTTCCAACAGAGTGGGACACAAACTTCATTCCATTTGGTACTTGTAGCTCTGGACTGTCCTGCTGAGAGAACTCAGTGAAGAATAATTAAAGATGGATATATAGTTCTGAATAAATTCAGTTTGGACTTGAAATAAAAATTATTGCTTTTCAGTCTTAAAAATTTTAGTGAACTTTTTATTTTCCCCCAACCTACTGAAATCTCTTGTTTCTATTACTGGAATGTTGCCAGAAAAATTTCTGCTTTTGTGACTTCTGCTCAAACGATTCTGTCCCAAATGTTCTTGATCATCGTCCAAAGCTCCAGAGGTTATGCTCGGAGGAAGTCGGTGATTTTCAACGTTACACACTTCTGCTACTACAGAAGAGATGCCTTCACAGGACCTCCTTCTTACAAGAACATTTGGAGCCCATTTCTTTTTTACGGGCAATATTCCCACTTAACTAGAGGAGTCTTCTGCCAGAGAAAGAGTTTGAATCATCTGGACTCAAACATGCTCCTAAGATTGTTGGAATTAGGTGTTGAACTTTACTGACTGCCCAATAATACCCATCCCACTCAAACAATATATGAAGAAACCACTGGAAAGATATCGTAAAAGAAAATGGACCCATTGAGAGAGTGGAAAGGATTTGTATCTCAGGGGGAAATGAATTTCAGATGAAACTCAGATCTGGCACTTCAGGAGTAACAGCAAGAGAGGTTAATGAAAGATTAGCACTAATATTTTTCTTTTCCCTTCAAAGCATTGTTGACCCATAGGGAGGGTCCTTTTAGAGGAGAGATTATAAAGTGTTTGCATTTAAAATAAAGCTTCTAAATGAAATTCCAGACCTTACTGGAATATCTGAGGGACATTTTATAAGTTCCTAGGATTATCAAGATTATACTTTGCCCTTTGGGCTTCAAGTTCTGCTGAGCATGTGCAATGCAAATATCCAGTGTTCATGAATAACACTGGAATTGTGGCAGCCTACCCACACAGGCACCTACAGATGAGAGCCTTTTGTTTGGCTTTTTCTGGCCTGAGCTCTGCAAAATATTCCCATCTCTCTGGAGGGTGTTAATCCTGTGACTGAAGCATTACAATCCAGGAGAGCTAACTGAGTGTGAATAGAAGTGGCCAAAAGAGGTAGGAGTTGCAGTGCCAGCACACAATACAGCCCTTGACCTAATGGCACATGTAAAGAAAATGATAATGCTTTAGAAAGCATTTGTGTTTGATAATCTATTTGTTAGAAATATTTTGTTAGGAAAATTGAAACAGTTTAAAAGTTTACAATTCCAAATATATTTCTGGACAGGTCAGCAGAAAAATGTGGCCAGAAAAATATGACTGCTTAATGGCATCTATCAAACATGCCTTTTTTTCAGTTATTATTGCATGTCTTTGTCTGGATGGTTTTTTCAGTGATCCTTCTGTGTTTCACTTTTGTATGCAGTATATGATAATCTTCACCATAGCAACATGTAAGAAAACAAACAGGTGGAATATTTGGCTTGAAATTAAAACTAGCCAGTAGGCAATCCTACTTAACAATCAGTCAGACACTGATATTACTCTCTAAGAGGATAATTATTTATTATCCTTTGTGGAAATTAACAGCTTTTAGATTCAATCATTCTTGTATACACATTTTTGGTTTGAAGGTTAACAAATAAGGCTTTCTAGTTTAATGAATAAAACTTTTAGTCTGTATAGCAAATTCAAACTGGTCACCAAAACATGACACACAGAAGATTAGGAATTGTTTTGATTTTATATAAGTTGGACTTATGATCTTGGGTACATGTGAATCAGGATGGAAGCCAAGAAAAGAGTAAGGTTTTGGGACAGAAACCTAACCATGTTGCACTAAGAAGGCCAGCTGCA